TAAAAAATATATTGCTTTCCAATTTGGTTAGTATATTACTTTTCAATGCTCTACAAGGTCATAGATATTTAGGAGTCAAAAGATGTTTTTTTATGCAATTGAAATCTGGTATCAGGCTAAAAACCATGTGTGTGCAAACTGAGAATACAATTCATGCTGAACTTTGACAATGAAGTTTCACAAACAGAAATATTTACACAGTACCTCTTTGAGGGTTTTAATGAAATATATRTTTTAAAAACAACAGGAAATGAGGAGAGGGAATGAGATTACACCAGACTACATAATAAGTTAAGTACTAACTATATGTTGAGTTGCAATGGTTTTCAAATCAGTGACACATCTTTTGTATATGGAAAGGAGATGAAATGCATGCATTGTTCTTATAAACAGAGACTTACCAATTGTTGCTGAAATAGGGAAGGGTATCTTTGTTGACTTTCCTTTGCTTGAAGAAGGTTGAGATGTCAAATCATCGTCATCGCCATCATCATCAGATTCTGCAGAWTATGAAATAAAAGTATATCCTCTTGAAATCTGTAAATATTACTTTGACATTCTAGGTCTCATACAAAAAATAAATAACCACTGTAAACATGGGCATTTCTCCTCTTATCCTATTTCATGTGCCCCACTATATGTGCAGGATACTCTCTATGTGGGGCGTTATATGGGATAATCGTATGGACCTAATGAAGTGTTGAAGACAGTTGACGTCCATCAGGGGGTTGGGCGTTATATGGGGATGTTCTTCAATATCTTCAATAGAATGTGCCACAGAGGTAGGGGGAAAATACAGCTATGGCAAGGTTAAATATACAATGCCCCAAACTCACCGATGTCGCAAGTAGGAATTAAAAAKAAAGTCAGTCTCTTATACTCCTTTCCAATGGCTTCTTTGTATGCACACAGGGTGAAAAGATTATTAGTTCCTGGTATGTAATGAACTTCACTGAAATCGGGGTAGAGTAATGTGTAAGACAGAGCTTCGTCAAAGGTCTTGTCAAACGTGGCATGCTTCTCAATCGCAATTTGAAGTAGATCTTCTCTGGAAGAAGTTGTGTCCACGCGCACGAAGTGAACCTTTCCCCGACATCGTTT